AAGCATTTTTCNTTATTTTACAAAAATATTAAGAGCAATAAAAGTATGTTAATTTCTTTTTTATTTAATTTTTAAATAATAAGTTTTTAGTTATTTTCGACAAGTTCTTGAGTTGAAATAAGCGTTTCATCACCAATTTCGGATTCGGAACATTCTGACATTCATCTGAGCACGCACAGACTACACAACATTCCAGGTTCGATGACAAACAGTTACAATTTTTCGTAGAACATTTTGCACTACATGAATATTTTTGAAGCGTATCTAATGCAGTTTCTCCTTCGAAATAATTAAAATCCAAACAACCATTTTCGATTTTCCATACATGTGTCAATGGATCAAAAGTTACAATTTCACTATTTGTAGACTGTTTTTTTTACTCGCTTTAGACCTTCAATAAAATAATTGACATATATACCAAAAAAATATAACTTAATTCTTAAAGTAGAAGATCTGCCGATTATTATGCTTTTTTATAATTAAACTCTGTTCAGTGGTTTTTGAGAAACAAATTCCGAAAGATTGTCGATTTCATCACTTTTTTCACATTAAATTGTAAATATCTTGGAAACGAAGCATTTTCCGATTTTTTGTCAAAGGACAAAATGTGTTTATTTTGATCCATTTTACAATAAAAAAGAGTAATTTTTTTACAACTTTTTGTTTATAACAATTGACTGACCACGCCGAAAAATATAAAAAAAATATGTAAATTATCAGAAAAAGATACTTTATAAAATAAAAAAAGTTTCATGGTGTAGGTTTTTGTTTTAAAATTTTAGTCGGTTACGTTCATTTAGAAACATCTTTATAGGGGTGAACCGCTCGCCTATTAAGAGAGAAATGAACATTTTCAATCCGGATATTGTTAGAAAAAGATGCTTCTGATAAAAAATATAGACTTAGAATAAAAATGTGTATGTTGTATATGTAAATACCGTAATTTAAGCCTCTTCATCACATACACGTATGAACAGTTATCAAAGTGTGACTAGCAGGATAATTCGCAGCGACACTAGATCGCGAATCAACACTTGTCAAATTAATTGCATTCGATATCACGTGCCCTCTGTTAATTAATAGAGCGAAGTTCACGCTAGGTGTTACGTAGGAGGGGTGGAGTAAAGGAAATTGAAAAATTTGAATGCAGCTATTCCACCAGCCAACCCGATTAAGGTGTGCATAACTTATTTTTTAGAAATTCTAAAAGCAAGATTTATTAAAAAATCGAGGTTTTCAATTGTTTTGTGCAATGTTATAGATTTATATGTAGAGGTGATGCTAATACATAGGCGTAATGGGCGGAAACGTATACAAAAAAAGATAGTATTAAATTAGGCCCTAAGGTCATTTTTGGCTAGATGGATTTTATAGCTCGAATTATTTCTCTCTCTGCGATACCAACAATACTTCAGAGGCTCTTTCTCTTGAATGCTCTAACAATCTCATCCAATTCAATATTATTGTTGACAGTTGAAAATGAAGACGTAAAATAATCTGCAAAACAATTGATTAAGTTTCACTGGTGTCAAAGACTGTTGCTATGGAGACAAACGAGAATTCTTTCATTAAATACACATGATCAAAAACCAGTCGGTTTTAAGGTTATTTCATCAATTTTTTAAATGTAATTCGTACCTATATTAAATTTTAATGACCCTTTTTATATACACTCTTATATCATCCTTAAATATATTGTATATATTTTAAGGTGACCCTAAAAAAACGAATATTTTTTTTCGTGTCTCTTGTGAAAATATGTTAATTTATCATGTTTTAAGAGCCCCTTCAAAAAATCAGCTTAAAAAAAATTATTTAGAGGTCCCTCAAAATTTTTAAAAATTTCCAAAATCGTCAAAAATAGATTTTTTTTCTATTTAATTTTTTTTCTCGTTATTTTATCATTTTCTAGGTTGAAAAAAATTTCGATTCTGAATATTTCAAATCGATATTTTAATTCTAAAGTTCACTCATAATTATTTTAACTTTCAGAGTAGTGTACTTATGTTTTCGAGCGACCTCTAAAAATAAATATCAACGAACTAATATTTTTTTTTGTTGAATTTGATGAACAAAAGAATAGAAATAAATCACGAGACTTAAATTTTTAAAAATTATAAATATTTGATACTCGCACTGCGGTAGAAAATTTTACCTCGAGAAATTTTTTAAGTGACTCGTGATTTATTTCTATTATTTTTTTACCAAATTCAATAAAACAAATTATTAGTTCGTTGATATTTATTTTTAGAGGTCGTTCGAAAACATTTTAGGTACACTAATTCTAAAATTAAAATAATTGTGAGTAACCTTTAGAAATGAAAATATCGATTTGAAATTTTCAGAATCGAGATTTTTTTCAACCTAGAAAACGATAAAATAACGAGAAAAAAATTAAAAAAAAAATTGTAGACGATTTTGGAAATTTTTAGATCTAAAAAATTTTTTGAGCAAATTTTTTGAGAGGGCTCTTGAAACATGATAAACTAACATATTTTCACAAAAGACGCAAAAAAATATTCGTTTTTTTTGGGCCACCCTAATGTATTTGTGTTCGTCTTCATCTTTTTTGTAATAAATTTTATGTTTCCGTTTTATATCTTTTATGATACAAACCACGGTTCATGACTAATAGTGATTGATTATATTGCATTAATTGTAAAATTATTACGAAACAAACCTGTCGTGCATACATACGGGGTACCTATATCAGAAATAATCGCATATTTAACTTACAACTATGCAACTCATTATAAGCAACAACTTTTGTCTAATAATTTTTTTTTGAAATCTCATGATTTGTATGGTACTGTGTATAATATCCATTAAATTAATGCTAAGCTACCGATGGAATAAATAAATATCAAAATAGACTAGCTAACCTTTGCTAGTTTACTTAAATGTAAATACATATTAGCATTAATAAATTAGTTCCCATTATTGTGCTTTTTTTTATTATTATTAAATCAAATAATCTTTTCGACTTATGCCCCAGTAGTGGGTAACAAAATATAAAATTTTAAAAAGGTCTTTGAAAAGAAATATATTAAACAAAAGTTGTTGCTTTTGATAAACATTTCGGCACTTATTTCACGGGTACCTACCCTTTTCAGTCTGATTCCAAATTCAGTACAAAGCATTTACGGGCGTATTTTCGAGGTCAAAGTAAGACTTTTTCTCCCTATAAACTTGTGTCCACAAATGCTTAGTTTTTGATATACAGTATGTGGATAAATTTGGAACAAACACACTGAAGAATTTTTCGAGACAATACGTCTGAATCTGGTTAGGGCTGAGGCAGTACAGTATTGGGGATCATGAAGGCTTGCAAAAAATGTAATAAAATTTCTAGGGTCGTATAAAAAAAATGAAGTTGATGATGGTCCTGGAGAGACCAAACGTTACATATAAAAATTGATTATGCCATTCGATAGAGGGCAAAAAGTGGCCATGAGAGTGTTCTTCCTTTTTCAATATCGCCTCAAACAAGGCTGAAATAAAACAAAAACTGATTTCCAAAATTCCGGTTTTTTCAAATATTTCAAAAACTAATCATGTTAGCCTTGATTTTTTAGAGGCATAATGTTGATCCCCTGATTACGCAACTTTGCCCCCTTTGAGCTAATTTGTATCTCTTACCGTTTTCGAGATTCCTATAGTGAGAAGTGAATTTGTAACAGCCTGTATACGTTTATGTGCTATCACAAGTTTAAGCTACTTTAAGCTACATGCCAAAGAACATTGTTGCAAGGTAAAAGAGAGGATAGGAGAAATATAAATTATAGGTAGAAATAGGTACAGTGAATTTTTTTTTAGAAATATTTTTAATAAACCTTTTCAATATTTTATATTTTATTCTGATACCGATGGATAAAAATTTAATTTTTTTTAATTTGAAATTCCAAAGCTAAATACCTAAATTATGGAAATGTATTACTTTTTAACATAAAATTTAATATTTTTAAATTCTTTTGTCAACAAATATTTATACTAATCCATTAATTGTTTAAAAAAAATGATAAATAGTGTATTAATTTTCAAAATTAAAGTAAAAATATTTTATTAAAAATTTCCAATTTAATATTTTCATAGCTTAAGAAAATTTTTGTACTCTTCGAATTTCTAGAGCTGCTCTTGTAGGGGTATATTTATACACAAAATCCGTTTTCTTTCCAAAAAATTGTTTAGGGGTTGTTTTAACTGTGTTCCCGTAGTTTTAGGGAAAAATAAATAGGTAGCATATATTTGTATTCAGCACTCCAAAATTATAATTAAAATACTGGTTTCTTACTTTTCCTTTAGTGACCCAAAGTTGCTTGTTTTTTAACAATGGTCTTTGAAGAAATTGCTTCGGTCTTCTATTTGGAATAATAGCATGAATGTATTTCTCGTCTCTAACACTCTGTAGATTTCCAGACATTTATATGAAACTTTTTCGTTGATTTGTAATATACTCGTAGATCGACTATAAAAATTTGGGCAAGCAATGTAGTTACACTCTGTATGTTTGATCTATGCCATCATCAATTTCTTTTGGTTATCAAGGTCCAATGTTTTTGTAACACACCCTGTAGTCAAAACATCGACAAATGTTTCGAAAACAGGGGTTTTTATTAACGCTGGCATTTTATAGCTAACAACTAGCACTTTTAGTAAAATTATGATTTCAGGAAATATAATGATAAACAAAAGAAGTAAAAATATGATATTTTCCTTATTCAGAATGTATTGTCAGCTTGTAAACTGGAGAAAACTTGTGTAACTGATACAGTGAAGAGACATTGCTTCTAACTTGCTTAGATTTTTTAAAACCCTCGTCAAAAGACTTTAATAGTCCTAAACCTCAATTTAGATAATGTATATCTACTGTAACTAAAAGAAAATGTTTTGAATTAAATTTTTAACAGCAACTTAATAAAGTATTTATGTTGTTACTTAAAAAATGAATCATTTTCTGTATTTTGAGAATTTTTTGGAGGGAATAAAGCTCAATAAATCACAACCATTTATATTTACAAATAAAACAGAAATTACAGATTAACAAAAACAACCCTCTATTGGCTGCAGGTAATAAGAAAGCCTTGGTCGTATAGAGGTAGATCATCGATAATGAAATCTTTCTTTTCTTCGTCGTCATCTTCGCACTTGGTCCGACTAAGATTCGGCTCCAGGTTCTGAAAGATTTTCACATCGTTCTTTGCCTCGTTGTGTCCGTTCATATGTTTATGTAGAGACGCTTTCAAAGAAAACGTATCGCCGCATATATTACACATATAAGGCCTCTCACCCGTGTGTGTCCTTAAATGTACTTTCAAATGCGTGGACTGATTGAAGGTTCTATTGCAAACGTCACACCTATACCGCTTGTCTCCCGTGTGTATCCGCATGTGTCTCTGGGCCCCGTTGGAGTAAGGAAAACTTTTACCGCATATGTTGCACAAAAACGGTGTCTTTTTCGACTTTTCTCCAGGAGCAGCATTGTGGGTACGCATGTGCCTTTTCTGCGACGACAACCGTTGGAATTTTTTGCCGCACACCTCACAAGTAAAGTTACGTTCCCCGGTGTGAGTCGTTATGTGTTCCCGTAAGTGGTACGACTGTTTGAAAGCATGGTTGCATATGTTACATACGAATTTCTTGTCTGAGTCGTGTATTTCAAAGTGCTTGGTTAATTTCCACACTTTGGAAAAGTGTAAATCACAAAAATTACATTTATAGGTACCCTGTTTTTGTTTCTTGCGTTTCCCGACTTTCTTATCCGGTACACTTGTCCTTTTATTATCGCAAACATGGTTGACCAACTCGGAAGCTGTGAAAAACACAGCTTTGCACTTGCGGCAAGGGAAATTTGAAAAATCCAAGTCGTTCCCTGCACCTTGGTCTTTAATTTCTAATGATTCATTTTTGACTTCCACGTCTTGCTCTACTGCAGTAACAATATCTTCGGTATAAGAACTTAATTCATTAATCTCATTATTGTCCTTTATATCAATCACTTCCTGTCCGTTGTCCTTACTGCTGAAAGTAACTGTTTCCTCGAATTTCGTGCTCCAATAATCCAAAGCGCTTACAACCCTTTCTTTAAACTCATACGCCTTATTTAATTCGTCCACACAAGCACTGCAGATTAGCGTCTCCTCAAAGACTGTCTACAAATAACAAAAATAATCCTACAACACTAATAATAACGACACATGTTTACTTACTATTTCTGCACTCAATACACTCTGTAGCTTATTCAAATAGGTCACATTATTCCATTCCTGCGTGAATACGTCGACTAAGACCAAGTTCGTCTCGTTGTAGTTATTTTTCAGGCATATCAGGCAGGTCGCCGGGTTCGAATTCATATCAGATTTTTAAACAAATGCAAAATGTTTCGTTTGTGCTGCGTTGAGGTTAACCAGAAACAAAAACAGACAGCTGTCTTCCACCGATGTCACGATAATGTAGGTGTCCGACTTTATCGATCGATTTTGAGCGCAATCGCGGTGGTTCAAATTTGAGACTTCCCGGATTTGTTTATCAATCAAATTAATTAATTCGTAGGAGAAAAGTAATTACTAATTAAATATCATACTGTGTCAAGTTTAATTACAGGATATCTTTTTAATATATGTATATTATACAGGGTGTTTCAATTAAAACTTCCCACCTGGAAAATATGGTAATTAAAAAAAACAAAAAAACCTGAGACGTGATGGCGTTTTGGGTGTCTTGAAAGCTACCCCTTAGACAGTGGCGAAAAATACACTTAAACTTGAAATGGCACCCTATGTTGAGTGACACCTCATTTCAAAACTTTTTCAATTCTGCTCATGACGACATACAATAATACAATCCTTGCTACACTTCCGAACGAACATTTCGATGCATTTCGGGTGTTATCTAACAATATATTCTTCAACAATTTCTCTAAAAAAAAATTTTTTTATTTTTCGTGTGTATTTTCCGCCCCTGTCCAAGTGGTAGCTTCCAAGACGCCAAAACTTACCCCAATACGTGTCCCCCCTGAAAAAAAATCGACTTCTCTCAGGTTTTTTGTTTTTTTTTTAATTCCGCTATTTTAATTGGAACACCCTGTATAGTCTAATTAATGAGTTCCCCAAACATTGAATTCCTCCTATTTCACTGTTTATTATCAACCTGAATTTAGTGCAGCTATTTTGTATTACATCTAACATAAAAGCAATGATGCCAGATTTGGAAATTTTTCCCTCGTTCTGGAGAAAATATTCCAAATTTCTGGAACTAAGGAAATAGGGAATTTTTTATGAATTAGACTGTATTAAATTCTCTATAGTTTATAGTTTTAACAGAAATTTATATTCTTTTTTCTTTCGGAAAACTGTTTTCTTGATACACTGTTTAGGCTTCTGTTCTTTGTATTTTTTTATTCATTTTAAGCCCATAAAATTCGAGGTAGGCCTGATTTTTTAAACAGGCGTGTATTTGGTCTAATTCGCCCCGATGCGACTTATGATTTAAAAAATTTTTGTATATGGAATTCTGAGAAAACACTAATTATAAGCATTTGTGTCTAAAATCATTCCATATATATTTTTACTTAAAATTAAACTCCTCCAACTTCCCTGTAGGGGTTTTCAACCTCGGGAGATAAGTCGGTATCTTGGTTCGGGACACAGGAACGTAACAAATTATCCGCTGACCCAAGTAATCTACCTTTTGTCCGGGCGAATTTCATTGATATATGACATGGGCTCGTCATCACGAACAAAAGCTCTTCGTTAGCATATAAACAAGTAGTCCGGGCTTAGGAGGCATTTTAGTAGATGTTTATTAAAGCTTATTAAACGTGGTGATACACACTGTAGATAATTTATTTTGACGCAGATGTAGTATAATAATACCCTCGAGTACTGAGCTAAAAAAATATACTTGACATTTATCGTAAACGTCAATTTAGACAATAAACAAATGACGGAGCGATCCTGTAAATCTCAGGGGTGGTTTGATTTATACGATTATGGATTTTTTATAAACTGTTATAAAACCCTAGCCCACTCGATTTTCTTAAAACACAATAAGCAGAGAATTTTTTGTACTTTTCTCTTCTTAAAACATTGTTTTTAAGGAAAAAACCCTCCGTCGTAATTCAAAGCGTAGAAAAACAATAAGACGAAGTAAACACCCTCGGGCAACGCAGAAGGAGAAAAACCTGAGGGATGACGTCAGAATTCGCCGAAACAGTGATTGATGAGAAACCGATTTTGCCCTCCTCACAGGGCCATGATTGATACTTGTTCCTGTATAAAATTTATTATTCCCCGTCTCAACAGGTTATAATTTTATATCATTAAAAGTTGGCCGTCGACGGTGTCGTCTCCACCCCCACCTCTCGCAGGCCACGACAAAGGCATAATTCCCTTTTGGGAGAGGGCAACAAAAGTTCGGCAATTTAAACTCCTCTCGACTGTGCGTCGGCGTTGCCTTATTATTTAACACTAAGACTATTTCGCAATTCAAAGTTGATGCATGATTAGTAGCCCAATTCCCGTGAATAATGGAATTAGAGGCCGGAATACTGGGGAAGGGGGGTAGCGGAAGGGGGAGATCTGAAACTGTGGAACCGAATGTCGGTAAAAAATAATTGGGTCATAACGGAACAATACGAACATTCAGAATGTTAGTTAGCACTCTGTGTATTAGTCATTTTCTTTCATACGGTACGGAATCAAAAACAATCACGTCTGGATTCAAAGGGCTCGTGTATAATAGTTTTTTTAATTCAGACTCAGAAAGCATACGTCGTAGTTTCGCAGTTAGTTGATGGTCAAAAGATCAAATTTTTTTCAACAATTTCTCGCTCAAAAAACGGAGCACGGTAAAGCGCACGGAACCCACTAAACATTTTTCAGTTTCTGACATGTTTCAGAAACGTTTCCATTTTTCTCAAAACGTTTCATAAAAAATCCATGCATCGTTCTGGTAACGTTCTAGAAACCCAAGATGTTCTCCCCAAAATACGTTTCCAATGAAACGTTTCAAAAAAATTGGTTTCAGTAACATTCTTTTTATGTTCCATTAATGCACTCGATATTTTTGTTTTACGTTTCAGTATACTTTCAGAAATGTTTGAGTAACATAATAATTTTATTACCATATTGTTCTCACAATGCTCTCAACTTTGGATAATTTTCATTTCAAAAGCGTTTTTGAAATAGTATAAATAGTGTGAGCAATTTTTTAAATATTTCTAATACTATTCTGTGATATTTTTATTTGTATTGTGAAATGAATGACTTAATTCGAACTCCAGACAACTTCTGATTTCTCAAAAAATATAACTAAAAAAGTTGTTACATTGTATATTAAAAAAAAAATTAATATGCTCTTCCAGTTTAGGGATGCGGCATCTTTTACCAAGAATTTCTTTCTTTTTGAGAAGCCACTGAATAAAGTTTCTAATATGGATTACGAATTTTGCCATTCATCGTGCAAATAAAAATGTTACAAAACAATATCAGAAGCATTTTAAAAAAGCTACACATCATTTTATATTGTTCAAATACGCTTCTGAAATGGAAATTTTCTAATGTTGAGACCATCATGAATATGGTAACAATGACGAACTGATAATTAGAAAAAGTTAGTTATGATTAGGATAACAGCAAACGCATGTTTTCCAAACGCTTTTTTTAGTTATTATTTTATTTGAGTGAATTTAAATAGCAACAGTGAATAAACAGAACATCAAGGTTTTTATTTTTGTGCTTACTTTTGTTCTACACCTTTTACTTTTCAAGATTTCAGTACCTAAAAACCAGAAATATGACTATTTCTCGGCCAGGGATATGACCACCTTAAATGATACTAATAAGGATTTTTTAAATTTGTTTGTTATTTATGGATAATGTGACAATGTAACTTCAAGAACATGTAGAGAATTTGTTCTTCATAAAATACAATAAGACGATTAGTGCCTTTATTATTCTCTCACTATTATTGTTGGAATTATTATAATAGATATTTCCGTATTTTCATCATACACAAATAGGTATTTTTTAATGTATTTCGTGAAGGTCTTCGTTTTTCTGGATATCGAGCAACAAATTCTCTAAATGTTTTTGAAATTACTTTATCACATTTCCCATAAATAACAAACAAATTAAAATAATCTTCATTAGTATCTATAATTTAAACGATCCTCAGGCATGTTTATATAAATTTTCGGCAAAAACTATTATAGACATAATAATAATTTGACAATTAACTTTTTGGAATGTTTCTGATCATGGCCAGTTTGATAACAGATGTGATACAAGAGAAACTGTCCGAAAATTAGAAAATTGCAAATATCTCTAAAAGTAGTAAAGGCAACCCTAACAATGCTTATATGGCTTGAACGGAAATTTCATACGACAGAGTAAAAAATACAGGGTGTTCCATGTAAGTTAACAAAGTTATTGCTGTTTGGAATTATCAGAATGTAACAGCAAAAATGAACCACCTAGTTATTAAATGTTTTAATTTGTTGGTATACCATAATTTAGTCTTACCTATGCCATTTACAGGTACCAAAAATCCACTTAATATCACGCTCCTGAAAAGAGTTACTACGAGTAGCATCTCCGTAGATCCTTGCATCTGTCAATTTTTTTCTTTAAAAATTAATATCTCAAAATCTATAACTCCTAGGTATAGGGAATATTTAATAAACTGGCCCTCAGACTTCACGTAGAATCCGAAACTGCGATAAAATATAGGGTGTCCCATTTAAAATAAGAAAGTTAATGTCGAAAGTTCTAAATATTTTAGCAGTGTTGACCCTAAAGCCGTTGCTAGGTTGCCAAATTTTCAGATTTATCGAACCACCACTTTCCGAGATATCGATAATGGCGATACCTGGTGGGACACCCTCTATATAAATTGTTCACGGGAAGAATATATTTTGCTTAATTTTTTAAATCTTTCGCTTAATTTCCTTTCCTTTCTTTTAAAGGAAAGTATTTATTCTGTTACAGGGACATAAAATTGCCCTGTCTAATAAAACAATCGAGCACCACACTTAGATGCATCCACAAAAGCATTAGAGTGAAAATAAAAACTCTCCCTATTTTACAAATTGTATATCCCGCCTTAATCTGTTATTGACTCCGACCCTGTGCTAAAAACTTCCAATATCATACCTGTATAACAACGTTGTGAAAGACATGAATGTAAATATACCCTCTTCTTAGCTTAAATGTAGAAATATTAGGTTTTAGTAGTAAAACCGAAACGTTGTTCCCATATGGCAAGTTTTTAGAGTTAAAAATATCGTCCCGGCGACCTTTACCCAAAAACACCGATTTAATCGGGGCGACAAATGTGGAACGATGTTTGAATACCGTAATCCCGTAAATGATGGACGCCATTCGGAACCCGGTTCTCGCTCAAATCCCTCCTAACGGCGACGCTGAA